GATTTTTATTCTGACCAAATCCAAGATTTTTACTAGCCATTAAGACCGGTATTCGATTTGCGTAACTCATCTTTTCACTCAATTACTTCATGGCTAGTAAAAATCTTGGATTTGGTCAGAATAAAAATCTGCAAGCACAGCCTGAAAGATACTTTCGAATTTGTTGACCTAATTCAGGACTTGGACGTTAAACATTTGACAATGGGCTCATTAAACAATAATCAATTTTTAAAAATATACCACTGTTTGAGACCGTGCTTACCTTTGCCAGTACATTGATGAAGAAAACGTATAAATTGGAATTCCAACTACAAATTTGAAGAAACTATTATTTCGATGTACATATAATTTCCAATTTTCTTTTAATGGTACAATACACAGACAGACGGACGGTGTAGCCATGGGTTCCCCACTTGACCCATTCCTTGCAGATGTTTTCGTAGCCAAACTGGAAAACAACGAACTACGAGACAGCATACATCAACTCCCGCTATACTGTCGTTACGTCGACGATATGTTTATCCTTTAGGACAAAAGTATTTCACCGGACATAATACTGAATCGTTCAAACCGAGCTCATCCGTCAATCGGCTTCACGATGAAAGTAGAAGATGAGAATACGTTCCACTTCCTCGACGTCAACCTGAAGACGGGACCCAGTGGAAATTTATTTCATTCTATTTTTCGAAAGCCAACATGGAACGGCCAATACACCCATTTTCCAAGTTTCGTTCCAATCAAATATAAACGAAACCTAGTCCAATGTTTGGCCTTCAGAACTCGAGTGATCTACTCCAAGGATCTAGTTAGAGGATGAACTTAAATTCATCAAATCCACACTCCTTATTAACGGATACCCTGAGCGATTCATCGAGAACATCGCAGAAAAGCCCACAATACCCAGACCAAGCACGACCAAATAGAAAGAACTATTCTTACTACTCCCGTTCAAAGGAGATGCGAGTGGTCATATACTAAGAAGACGTCTGGAGAAAGCTATTACAAGAACATTTCCAGCCGCCACTCTACGTTTGATGTTTACAAGCCGGCCTCAGCTCTGCACAAACCTCAAGCATAAGCTGTCCATCCTCTACTCATCTATGATTACTTATCCCTTCACTTGCACATGTTCGGCAAGTTATGAAGGACGAACGATGAGGCAGCTCTGCCAAAGGATCAGAGAACATAAACCGGCTTGGCTGAGAACGAATTGCAAGAAAACAATAACCAGTGCCATTATGGCCTACCTCGCTGATACCGGGCATCAGCCAGACAACGATGCATAGAAAACCATCTACAAAGTATCCCAAAACGAATCAAAGCAAGTTCGGAAAGGTCACTCGGCAACAGCGGAAGCTGTAGCAATCGAAATCATGAACCCACCACTGTGCAAACAGAAGAAGATGGTTGTTGCACTTCAGCTGCCTTGGCCCCGACCAAACCTACGTGATGAGCTAAACCATGATCTTAGTTGTGTCGTGATGACGCAACATGGCTTGACAAATGACCCGTGATAAAAGGTCACCGAAAATTCCAGAATTGAACTCCCCCCTCCCCTTCGCCCACTGTCCCCACATAGTCCACTCGTTCTGATAAAAATTGATAGACATTGTTTTATCATCATACTTGATCTCTATGGACTATTCACATTTATTCCTACATTGGATATATACACGCACACATAACTGTAAGGGCCTCCAGCTTTATTGTTTAGCTTTCAATATTTGATGCTTACTGAATCATTTCACTATCGGCAAAGAGTTACCAGTAGACCACAGTTTGCTCCCGTTCTCGTACTGCGCGAATCTACCATTCAAATGGGTTATGATGAGAGACTACTCTGTTAATTTAGTAGTATGTGATCTTCGCTGTGCTAGATTATTATGTCATAACTCTGAATTTCAATGGATTCCGTATGTAACCTGCAAAGCATATTTGATTTCTAATCGGAAAATATTAATCCCCCCGAGTTACGCGATTTGCTCTTTCATGAACCCACAAAGAATCAAACTTGTCTCCTTGAAAAAAATGTTTAATTGATAGAGAAACAGATTACATGTGAATTACAGATTCTCACTGAGACCCAAGTGAAATAACTAAAACCTATATGCTATCATGCACTGATTCTTTACGGGTTAGCAAAGACACAACCCATATGTCTCTTTGCAGCCCATACTGTCTATGCATAACTCGCTCTATCACAAACTAATCCAGTGGTTAGTGAAAATCCTTCAGCCGGTACACAAATGCCTCAGCAATCACACATTACGTGACTCCTTTGAACTTTGTGATATGTTCTCTAGTTTGAATCCATCCGGTAAAACGACGTGTTCCTTTGATGTCACAAATGTACCCGTACATGAAACCACAGATTTCATCTGCGAATCCACTACCCGAGAGAACATCAACCTTGGCGTATCTCCGGTGCTATTGAAATCTCCCATCTCAATGTGCACTGAAAACGTGCGCTTCCAGTTTCAAGGTACCGCTTTTCGACAGACATACGGTGTGGCGATGGGTATCCCTCTTGGTCCTACCCTGGCTGACATTTTGATGAGTATGATTGAAGCATGGCTGCATGTGGCAATCAAGCAAACCTTTTTCTATACATAATACGTGGATGATGTTTTCATCATCTTCAATCAGCCTGACGATATGGCTATGCCGCTGGATGAATTCAATGCAGCACATCTCAACTTGAATTTCACTTGTGAAGTAGAGAAGGCCACTTCATTAACTTTTCTTTATGTCCTAATAACCCGTAAAAGTGACGGTTCTATTCAACAATGCATCTATCTTCCGCAAGAATACTTAGAGAGGACAGTATGTTCACTTCTACAGTTTCTCATCAATGGAACACAAGAGAGCCCTGGTTCGAACGTTGTTCCATAAAGTGAGAATAATATGTACAGAGGACGCAATACTATGTGAACAGGAAAATGGCCTTCCGACAGACAGGAAATCAGACTCAAGCCATTACCCATCAGGTGCCTAAAAAGAATATCCACATCTCGTTGCCATACAAAGGAGAGTCAACAATGCAGCTTATCACACAGCGTATCCAAAACGCTTTACAAAGAACCCCTGTGCTGTCAGATTACATCTCCCACGTCACCTACCTATCACCCAAATCAAAGATCACCCACTCAAGGCTAACTCTCATTACATTTACGCCTCCTATTGAGGCTGCAACGAAGCATACATTGATAGAACCAGCCGATCACTGCGAGGCAGAATGACCGAACACATTCCTAATTGTGTGAGTGAATAACTGACCCAGCATACACCACAGATTCGGACTGCATCACGCAGACCGACTTTGGCACTCGCAAGCAATCACAAGGTAGACCATGCGAACGCGTTTTCGGGTTTGTTACGTCATCGTGACAAACACCGACTAAGAATACTCCAGGCACTACTGATCGCTCACAACAAACCTACGTTGTGTGTCCAAAAGCGTATGACCTTTACGCTTGGCCTTCCCTGGCCGTGCATGACACACACGCTGTACACATTCACACACACGCACCCGCACATATACAATAATTACTAATCATATTTATGAATTCGCTTCTTTTGTCTGTCTTGTTCAATGTTAAAGGTACGCGACCGATGAGAAAGCATACGAAAGGAATTTCTTTCGCAGTGTTTATATTCTGACTTGCCTGTTCAGAATGAGTTTACTTACAAGGAAAACGGTACAGTACTATACTGGATGAATAGAGCAAAAAAAGACAGTGATCTTCATACAGCTATTGATATAAGTGCATGGGTGATGCCCTGTATGACGCAATCCGGTTGGTTCTGGGCTCCAGTTCCGGAAATTAACACCAATCGGATCGCGAACAACCCAATCCCAACCGGTCTGGTCCGCCGACCGGAACACCCAATCACGATTGTACACAAACGCAGAAATTCGATTCGACAAAATAAGTATTTGTCTACACAATTTGTGTAGCAAAATCGGTTAAAGGGGAAAACAAAGAAAAACACACACAAAAAAATAATTCGCTTCACTGGGGAAAATCTCGTCATATTTTTAACCCTTCGGGGAGCAGTAAACTTGGCTATTTAGGATCTCGTTAAAGATTGTTTTTTTTTACGACCAAAGTGAAATCACTTTGAACTGGGCAGTGTGTGTGTGTGTGTGTGTTCCCGCGTAACCAGCCCCAAACTGGTAATTCACGAGAACATTGATACAGTTTATGCAGACATTCTTTATGTAGAGGTGGAAGGACAAGGGTAGGGAACAGTTCAAATGTTCTACCCTAACTCAATCCGGTTGTAACTATTCTGCATCAACAACTCGATCGCCAGAGTTTGAACCGTGACAGAAAACGATGTGGGCGGTCTAATCGAGGACGTGGAAGGCAGGCAGGCAGGTAGGCAGGAAGTCGAACGGGTGCTCTATGGATGGATGGTGGATTGTAGATCCGCAGTGGGGTGGATGATATTCCCATGGGAAAGGTAAATGCACAGAAAAGAACACTAGTTATTCTGTGCCCGAACAAGAAACAGTCGATATGACACTAATGGTAGAACAGCGAACCATAGGAGTTCTGGTGGGGCAATTTCAATTTGTGATAACGAGTAGTGAAAATGGTGCTTGCTAGGAGCGATCGCAGTTGCATAATACCCAGATCCATAGAATGAACAGCGTTAAATGGAATCGACTAGTTTCTAACCAAAAATTGTTCGTTCCAGTTGCTTCAAAAGTGTCGTTTCTAATTTTCCTAGCAGTATTAATTGAAGTCAGCGAAGAATTTTGTACTTTTAGATCCTGTTTACAGTGATCATGAAGGGCGTATCACGCATTTTGTGGCACGGTCCGTGAACGATCAAATGAAGTACGGTGTAATGATGGCAGACACAACACTCAAAAAGTAAACAGTTGATGAATATGGGATGAACATTTGAAGAGTTAAATCCCGAAGTCTGGAGGATCTGTTTAGTGAATCGTCTGTTTGAGCCCTGGAACGCGAAGTGGCGAACTACTACCTAAAGCAGAGCCAAACGAAAGCGAAACTCCATACCGTCAGGGTTCGAACACTAGCTCGTAGGAACCCGCAGCAAATCTGCAAAGACAAATGAAATCATTCTATCTGGTTGTGATCAAACGGATAGTTTGCTTAAATCCTCCCATTGCTTTTATAGCTTCTCTGCACGCATATCCTACTATTGTATGTGGCGATTTTGCAATCAAACTGTTGTAACAGTACGCCCCTGGTTTGTGAAGAACACAAGTCACTGAACTGGAACAGGTTGAAGGTAATTGT